GATAGCAAATGACCACAGGAGCTCCCAGGTCTGATGGATCCAGCAGCAGGCCTAATTCCATGATTGTATTGAATTGTCCTCACCTCACTTCCCTCTCAAAGAGATTGTAAACTCCTGGAGGGGAGGACCTGGGCTCTCTTGTCTTTGTATCCTGAGTGCCTTGAATGTAGTAAGCCAATCAATCAATCAATCAATCAACACACATTTATTAAAGGACACTCAGACTAAAGATGAAACAATTCCTGCCCTTAAGGACCTTACAATTGTCCTCAGAGCTTGAAAAATGCTGATTGGATTGATTGGAAACCAATTGGATTAGAAATCACATTAGCTACTGGTTCCAAGGAAAGGAATGGAATCAGATACATGGACCTGAAGTGGCCCTCCTCTCTGAGGGTTGACAGAACGTAACCGTCGTGCTCCATGCCCCGAGACACCACTGAGCCTTGCCTGAGATGGGCATGGAGCCTCGACCCTCTGATGGCCCGGGTCTGAAGGGCTCTAGCCTTCTTGTCATTCCTAGCTCCCCATTTCCTGATTGTGCTTTGGCATTGGCCGTGCCTCATCCCTAGAACACACACCCTGCCATTAGCCTGTTAGGGGATTTGGCTCCGGTGCCATCTTCTCTAGGAAGCATTTCCTGATTCCTTCTCTGTGACTTTTGCATCTCCCCACTAGAATGCTCATTAGGAGCAGGGCCCCTGTCCTGGCACAAAATAGGCACTTAGAACATGCTTGTTGATGGATGGCAGTGGGGGCTGGGCCTTGGTGACTCTGGCCAAGCTGGTGCCCTCATCCTTTTCTGACCCCCGGGCCTGGTAGGCAGCCCCTGATGTGCCAGTTGCTTCTTAAATGAAAATGGGAGTGACGGGGTAGAGGCAGCTCCTGACATCTCTGCCCTTCCTCTCATTAGGACTAATTGAAAAAAACCAGATCAACATTTAGCCCTTCCCAAGACTCTTGGCTCTGGCTTTGAGTCCTGATTGGCAGGAATACCAAAGACTGGGTTTTATCAAAGGCGTTGGCATCCTTTCCTGTGACCTCCTTGGAGCTGAGATGGAGAAATAGGGTTGGCGGGACAGTCTCTTGGAGTGAATGGGGGTGGACGGTGCCCACCCGGGGGAACCTTCTAGCTTTGGGCCTACCCTTGGGTTCTGTTTGGTGCTGTTGTGTATGACTGGATGGAGTGGCCGGTGGCCCGCTTAGCTGATCCCGAGGCAGCAGAGGCTTGGAGACTGTTTACATTGTTATTAGGTTTATTGGTGTTTTTTATGTTGTTAGTGACAAACAACGCTGAGGAAAGGCTGAGGATCCAAGATAATGGGGGTTAAACAAACGAAACAACATTGTATGGAGAGAAATGGGAAGCCGTGAACGTGGACGAGCCCATCGTCAATGCCCTTTGAAAGGGGGTTTCCTCCAGCGCCAGACACATAACACTTGCTAGCTGTGTGACCCTGGGCAAATCACTTAACCCCATTGCCTAGCCCAAAAAAAAGGGGGGGGGCGGGGATTCCTCTGATCTGCTTCTGTGCCCGTGAGGGGAGGGCAGAGGGCCACGCCTCCAGGAGTCCTGTCCCAGTGCTTTGGTGGGAGGGCCCTGCGGAGACGCAGCCTTGATGGGCTACTGAGCCCAGGGATTTCTTCAATGATGGCCATGCCAGCCGCACCAAGGCCATCCGACTTTATCTGTGACAGAAAAGGGCAAAACAAAAATGGTCACCAGGGAGGACAGCTTGGGGTCCCGAAAGAATCGATAGATGTTACTGTGGGAAGATTGTGGAGAGTGCAGGGATAGAGCGCTAGGCCTGGACTCAGGAAGGCCTGAATTCAGATCCAGCCTTGGATACTGGCTTGCTGAGTGACTCTGGAAAAGTCATTTAACTTTTGTCTGAGTTGCCTTATCTGTAAAATGGGGCTAATGATAATACCTAAGGATAAGATGAGATAATATTTGTAATATACTGTGGAAATTGTTGTTATTGTTTGCTTTTCAGTCATGTCTGATTCTTTGTGACCCCGTGTGAATTTTCTTGGCCAAGATACTAGAGTGGTTTAGGTTTCCTTCTCCAGCTCATTTTACAGATGAGGAAACTGAGGCAAACAGGGTGAAGTGACTTGCCCAGGGGCACACAGCTAGTAAGCGTCTGAGGCTGGATTTGAACTCAAGGTGAGTCTTCCTGACTCCAGGCCCAGGGCTCTGTGCACTATGGCGCCCCCTAGCTGCAAGCCTTAAAGTGTCATAAAAATGTTAGCTCTTATGAGCCACTGTCATCGTGGTCAGTTCTGGGCCACTGACCCACTGCAGGAATAATGCATAGGGTTTTTCTTGCTTTTCCCTTAAGAAACAAGTAGCCTCACCCTTTCTGTGGCCCAGATCTCTAGATTGAAATGAATTCCTTCTCTGGTCAGACTGGACTAGAGGCCACCCCATGGAGATGGGCTGGTTCTCATCAAGCCTTTGAAAGGCTGCCCTCTGGGGGAGGGCATTGTTCTTCTTGTCCCCAGAGGGCAAACCCAGGCACATGGGGGGGGGTAGAGAAAGGCAGATTTAGGGTTGGCCATCCAATCGGAGCCATCCAAGATGCCCACTGGCATAGTGGACAGAGCATTGGGCCTGGAGTCAGGAATATCCGAGTTCAGATCTGATCTCAGACACTAGCTAGTGTGACTGTGAGCCAGTCACTAAGCCTCTGTTTGCCTCAGTATCCTCACCTGTAAAATGGAAATGATAATAATAATGCCTACTCCTACAGTTGTTGTGAAGAGCAAATGAGATAATACTTAGAAAGCACTTAGCACAGTGCCTGACATATAGCAAGTGGGACATAAGTGGTGGTGGTGATGGCGATGATGACAGATGTCATGGAGCGCACTTCATTGTTAGGTGACAATTGGGCCAGAGTGATGGTTGCTGAGGTCCTTCCTGCCCTGAAATTCTACCAAGGCTCCATGGGGATAGAATATGGATAAGGACCTAGGCTACAAGGGTAGAAGTTTCAGAAAGGCGCGTAAAGGGTACTGAAGAGTGCCCACATCAAATTCTGCTTACTTAATTTTTTCTTAACTTGGGGGCGATGGTTGGTGAAGGAGGAGGGAAGAGCTTCAGCCCACCCAAGGTTAGTGCAAAAACACGGAGAGGGAACACACAGGACAGGGGGTCTTTGCCTTTTTTGTGGCAGGGCCCCCTCTGGCAGCAGTCTGGAGAAGCTCATGGGCGGACCCTTCTCGGATTAATGTTTGGAGGCGCACAGAATAAAATACACAAGATGGTCAAGAAAACCAATTCTGTTCAAGTAGTCCTCCATCTGTCAGCATATAGTAGATAATAACCAGGCCAGAGCCCTTGCTCTAGGGAATGAAAGAGTAGCCCAAGTCCTGGCAGCTGAATCGTGCAGGTTTTTAATCTGCTTTGCCGCCTCACCCCTGTTTTAGGAGGAAGCAATGTGTGGTCTGCTCAGGAGTTCTGCCTGAGGATTCTGGGTACCATTCAGTTCAACCTCGTTTATTAAAGCCGAGCCCTTTGGCCACTTACGCTCCCTTGACGGCTGATGATGTGGACATAGAAAAGAAGACACAGATTAGTCTGCGGTAGCACTGACAGTCCCTTCCGTGGATCAGGCTGCAGGTTTCCCTACAGTCTGCCTTCTGCCACAGGTTCCTGCCAGGGCCGCTCTCCACAGGCCGCCCTGGCACCTCCCATCTGCTCGTGCAGCCTTGGTGACCATCAGTGCATCTTCCTGCAGCATCCTCACCGTCCCTTGTCTGCTCTGCAGCCCCATCTCTCTTCCTCTTCCCTCACTGCACTCTGTCCTTCCTTCCAAAGCCCTTCCTTTGAAATGATGCAGAACTGAGGCCCCTTTAAAAAAAATTATCTATTGTATTCATTAGATCATCTTTTCCTATTCATTTTTTACAAAGTAAACACGATGCGGATTTCTTGTTTCTTCCTTTAGAAACAGGTGGCCTCAACTTGACCCCTTTGTGGGTCAAGACCCTTGTTCAAAATGATTTCCCCTTCAGGCCTTAATCCTCTCCAAAGGAAGTCGAGAGTTGAATGAGCACGTCCAGTGTGCGGCTGCAGACCGAATGAATAGCCTCCCTTCATCCCAGGGCTGAACACCCTTTGGGTCTCCTCCCCAAGCTGGGGTGAGGCCCCTTTCCTGCAGGGTGCTCACTGGGAGAGCTAGGGTTGAGCCCCACAGGGCCCCAGCCCCATTCCTGGGTCAAGATACTGAGCAGGTGCAGGCTGGTCATGGGATGTGAAAGAGGAAGGGAGGGGAGGACGATGAGGCCAGGCCGGGGAAAGGGAGTGGGCTCAGGAGTGTAGTGACCAGCCTTGGCCTCGAAGATGGGGACAGAGTCTGCTTCCTCCCTTTCAGTGGAGAAGCAGGGGGCTCCAGGTGCAGGACGTTGTCCTGGCAGTCCTTGCACCCTTGGTTCTGCTGACCTGGCTTTCCCCGTTACTGCAGAGGGCTCTTTGGATGGGCGGGGCCCCTGGTCTCTTCTCCTCTCAGTCCACTCTTCTACCACTGCCAAAGTGATACTACTAAAGCTCAGGTTTGACCTTGTCGCTGTCCGTGGCTTCCTCTGATCAAGCACGGACCGTCTGCTGGGCATTGAAAGGCCTACCTCCCACCTCCCTCCCCGGCCTTGTCACCCGGCCCTCCGAAGTCCAGCCAGAGGCTGCTTCCTGGCCTGGAGCATCACTTCTCAAAATGTTTGGTTTCCCTAATGCCTGATCTCTCCCCAACGTCCCTAAGCTTTACTGTTGTATCTATTCTATATATTGTATATATTCTAATTATATATATATATAATTATGTATATTATATATATTCTAATCTATTCACCAGCTTTCTGTGTGAGGGCTGCTGGAGAGCCGCCGTGGGGACGAGGGCCAGGGCCTGGGAGGAGGGGTGCAGGGCCGCAGCCGCCCAAGGGGTCGGGGTCCCTGTTTTTGACCATCTGCTCAGGGCCGATCTCCCCTGTCTCTGCAGGCCTTTGGCCAAGCTCACACCAACCACAAGAAGGTGGCTGCGGACGGCGAGAGCCGCGAAGAGACCCTCATCCAGGAGTCAGCCACCAAGGAGGAATACTACGTGCGCAAGGTCCTGGAGCTGCAGACAGAGCTGAAGCAGCTGCGCAACGTCCTGACCAACACGCAGTCGGAGAACGAGAGGCTGAATTCTGTGGCCCAGGAGCTGAAGGAGGTAGGACGGGGGCAGGCACCTGTGTAAGGGTCGGGACCTGAGCGATCTGGATGGGAGAAAGGAGGCCGGGCCCAGGTTGGGGGCTCACGTCAGCTGAGATGTGTGTGGATGACAGGGAGCGGGGCCTGGTGTGGTGGATGGCGAGGGGAGGAGAGCAGGGACCCGAGCTGGCCCAGCGAAGCTGGTTAGGCTCTGTCCTGGGGGCAGCTGGGAGCTTCTGAATGTTTGTGAGGAGAGGAGTGACCAGATAACAGGGATGTTCTAGGACCTGAGACTGGTGTGGTGCCAGGAGGAAGGGTTTACATTTCCCAGCAGTGTATTTGGTGCCCCTCTTCAAGCCTTTGGGCCTGACCAATGCTGGGCCCATCTGGTCTGCATCCTCGAGGGTCGAGAGGGGGCAGGAGCCATGGAATGGCCAGAGGGGACATCCCCTCAGGGATCACACAGGAGAAAACTGAGGCCCTCAGAGAAACGGCCCTGTGGTGTGGGGGGAGGAACATTCCCAGGGTTAGACGTCTGGACACTTGGGTTTGAAAGTCTGCAAGGGGTCTGTGAGGAGAGCGCTGGCCTCGGAGGCAGGAAGACCTGGGCTCACATCCTACCAGAGGCTTTCAAGCAGTGTGACCGTGAGCAGGTCCCAGCCCCTGTCCCCATCTGTACAACAAGGGGGTATCGGCCTGGGGATTCTGAGGTCACTTCAAGCTCTGACTCTGCTCCTTCAGTCTTCCTCTGGAATTGTCACAAAATTATGACATTGGGCCATGGTGGGGGACCAGCCACATGAGACAAAGGGATTCTGTGAAACGGGGGCTTTGCTTGGATCACAGGAAAGGCTCGTTCCTCCTCAGTGGGTAGAGCCGAGGTCCTGGGTTTGCTAGCCCTTCCAAGGGGCCCTGAATACCCAGCCGCCAGGCAGAGCAGACAGGGGCACCATCTCAGAGAGGCCAGCAAAGAAAGCTGGTTTAGGGGGAGAGTAGGGGCCTGCTCCACCGCTGGCTAGACAGGGGCCTGCCCTCTGAAACTCAGTTTCCCACCTGCAACTTGCTGGGTGGGCTGGGTGACCTCAAAGGTTTTTTTCCAAGGGTCTATTCTATGAACCAGCACGGGTGAGCCCAGGCCTGGAGCCTAGGAGTGAATCACTGAGGAAACTGACCCCTTTGCCCCCATCCTTTGGAGAACCAGAAGGGCCTGGGCCCATCTGCTCCACTCTTCCTTTCTTTTGTTTTCCAAGCCAGCTGACCCAGGACCCACAGAGGGCAGAGGAGGTAACTAATAAATAGCCACCCATTATAATAACACCAGAAATGACCTAGCAGGACATCCTGGCTCCAGCATCTCCAGTCACTGATAATGGGCCCAGATGCTTCCCTGGGACATTCTGGTGAATGGGGGCAGCCCCTGATAAGACCTGCAGGAAGCCAGTGTGTGGACGGACTTCAGTGGCCCCAAAGCCAATGGCAGCCCCCAGCCGCGGCAGGGCAGCCCCGAGCCTCAAAGCCAGATTTCTGTTCCTAGGTCTATGGCTGGAAGGGCCAGCAGAAGCCAGGCTTCCTCCCTTTCTCCTTTATGGATGGAGTTCAGTGACTCGCCCAAGGTCATTCAAGCAGCATTCAAAGTGAGATTTGGTGCAGGTGCTCCGACACCAGAGTCACTTGGTTTCTGTGGCTTGCCTAAAGAAGAGCTGAGGGCCCAAGCCCCGCTGGACAGGGCCTGGCCTGGCTGCAGCTCGCTCCTGCCTTCCACGTGGCCCTGGTGACCTGGCTACCCGTGGAGAGCAACCCTGCCGGTGCCCTGCGGGGTCTGGGACCCCCGCAGGCCATCTCCCAATGTTTGAAGGGCTGTCATGGCAGTGGATTAGCCTTGTGGAACTCCCAATAAGAGAAGCAGGAGAGACACGCCAGGGCCACGGGGGAAGCGGACGTGAGTGTCACCCGAGGCAGGCCTTTCTGCCCGCCTGCAGCGGATGGGCCCCAGCTCCAAGCTTTGCGTAACGCCGACCCTAGACCTGGTGGGCATGGAGGGAGCTGGGTCAGCTCGGGAGCACCCAGGAACATTTGGGTGGCACTCGCTGGTTTGGGGCCCACTCCCCAGTGGGAAAGCGGGCGGCCCGTGCCTGGGACATGGCCTTCACTCGGCCCCTTCATCTCCCCACGATCTGAGCCTCTCCCAAGCGCTTCAGGCGTCTTGTCTCATTTGGGTTTCCTAATGACTTTGTGAGGCAGGCACTCCTGGTATCCCTATTTTACAGATAAGGAAACTGAGGCTGAGAGGTGTTAAGTGACTTGTCCAGGGTCACTCAGACTTCGGGTTAGTGTCAGAGGCGGGTATCAAACCTGGGCTTCACTTTCCAGGGCAGTGGTCAGCCCTGGAGGGGCGAGGGGAGCTGCAGGCCAGGGCAGATATTAACAATCATCATAGGATCAGAGATTGAGACTTGGGAGGGGCCTTAGAGACCATTGAGTCCAGCCCTGCCCATTTTACAGATGGGAAAACGAAGGCATGGAAAAGTTAAATGACTTGCCCAGAGTCACTCAGCTAGTAAGGATGTGAGGCAGGATTAGAACCCAAGCGTACATGGCATTTGTGTACTGAAAGAGTTTTATGTTCGTCAGGAAAGCTCTGTCCTGACACTCCGGTCCTGAGCTGGCCTTCATTAGTGCTTGGGGTGCCAGGTGCCATGCGAGGCCCCGAGGATACAAGAGGCAGAGCTCAGTCAGAAGAGGGCAACGACCCCAGAGAAGTTCAGAGGAGACGGGAGGAGGGACACCAGCCCCAGGGGACCAGGAAAGTCCTCCTGGAGAATTGGGGGGGGCACCTCTGAGCAGAATCTGGAAGGAAACCAAGAGGAAGGGCATGTGAGAGCAAATGGGTGGAGGCAAGAGATGAGGGGCAGAGCTGTAGACAGGCCAGTGTGATGCACGGGACTTTCAGTGCAAGAATGTGTGACACAGTGGTGGACAAAGCTGACCTCAGAGGGAGGAAGGTCTGGGTTCGAAACCTGCTTGTGACATCTACTGCATGTGTGACCCCAAGCAAGTCACTGAACACCTCAGAGCTCTAGGCAGCTCTGACTCCAGGAGGATACCCGTGCTCTGGAGGAAACATCCACACCGGGAGGTCAGATTTAGAATGCCTCCTTCCTCAGGTCCTCTCGGGCTTCTCTAAACAGACCCCCATTCCCTCCTCATCTCAGGGCCCCCAGCCTCTTCTCCTTTGCTGGCGCCTTGTCGCCCTGTCTCTCCTTGCGTCTCAGGTTTGATGTCACCGTCCCCCTCCTGCATCTCTGCCACTCATCCATCCAGAACAGCTTTTCTCTGCCCTGGACTTTTTGTCTCTCACCCCCTCCCCTTTCCTGGACCTCCCACAAGGCAGCTTCCCGGGAAGGAGGAAGGTCTGGGCTGGCCCGGGCTGGCCTGTTTACCAAGAGTCTTGGCCTTCTAGGAGGAGGTTAGAGGTCAGTCCCACTTCCAGGAGTCCATAGGTCTTTGGGGGGCTGACCTAGCCACCCTTTTCTCAGTGGAGCCATAGGGACAGGCCTGCCAGCGACATCCTCGAATGATACATGACTTCATGTGGTGGCCTGGACGACTGTCAGTCCTGGCCTCCGGTCATCGCTGGCCTGTGCAACCCAGTCTGGTGGGGAGGGGGACAGTGAAGAGACAGCCACAGACCTTGCTGGCCTCCCAGGAGGAGGTGAGCCAGCACCCAGGAGTGCCTGGGCCCCATTGCCCAGCCTGGCCTCTGGTCATCCTGACTTGTCCTGTGGTCCTCCCCACCTCTCCCCTCCTCTCCTCTCTCCTACTCTCTCTCCTTTGCCCTCAGAATCCTCCATCCCTCCTCACCCTTGAAGGATTCTAAGAGCTGCCCACTGACCCACCCCCCACACCCATCCGACACACGGCCACTGGCTCCACAGGACCCTCCTTCCTTTTGGTCTGTTTCCTCAGCGCCCGGCGCCAGCTGCAGAACAGGCTTGTGCTTTGAGACATGTCCTGGCCAGCCTCGCTTGAGCTGTACAAAGTCCCCACTGCAAGGAACATCACCAGAAGCGATCTGGGCGACCAGCACGGAGGGTGCTCAGAGCTCACCCCTGCCCTGCTCTTCCCTCGGGCCTCGGCCGGAGCCAGACGGGCCGTGTCTGCGTGGGAGGGACGGTGTCTCGAGGCATCACCCGGCTGGCACAGGCTTTCTGGGGCCTGGCATGCTGAGACATCAGATCGGGGCAGGCCTGATGAGACCTGAAATCCTGTTGTGAAAAGGCCTCGGGGCGGGGGGTGGGTAGGTGCTCAGCTGAGTAAGGAAGGTTTGGAAAGTGCCTCGTAGACATTCTCTCGAGGACTCCTTACCAGGCACTCTGCCCATTTTACTGAAGGAGGAACTTCAGGAGGTAAAATGGAAAGGAAGGACTTATTAAGCGCCTATTGTGTGCTGAGGGCTTTCTTCCTCACAGCAACCCTGGGAGGTGCTAGTATGATCCCCATTTTACAGATGAGGAAACAGAGGCAGACAGGCTAAGTGACTCACCCAGAGTCACATGGCTAATAGTGTATAGAGTCAGATTTGAACTCAGATCTGAACTCAGCTCCCTGAGTCATCTGTGGCGCTCAAAGGATTCCTGGAGGAAGAATCCCATTGGATTCTCACAACTTCCTGTTGAAGCGGGTGCTTTTGTGATACCCATCTTAGCACCAGGGCCGAATTCAAACTTGGGAGCCGACATGACCCTGGGGAAGGACCTCCCCGCTCAGGGCTCCAGGACGCTGCAGAGCAGGCCTGCTCAGCCAGGACCTCGCTGCGCTCAGGAAATCCCAGGTGCAGTCCCTGCCGCTAGCAGCTGGCCCAGAGGGGCTGAGGGGGACTCCTGTTCAGGGCCAGCTGGGGCTGGGGAGCCTTGGCCGGCCTGCCAAGTTCCCCTTCTCCAGTCCTGCTGCTGGGGAGCCCAGGGACCCTGGACTCTGCTCAGAAAGTCCAGGCCTGCCCCCTCCCCCCAGCAGGAGCTC